GGCGGGAGCCCGACCCGGGCGATCTGCCTGGTCGAGGGGCGCCGGGAACTGCCCGCAGTGGGCGGGCCTGAGCCTGGCCCTGAGCCTGAGCCTGAGCCAGCTGTGGGCCAGGTGCAGGACTGGGCCCAGGGGACTCTGCCCGGCCGAGGGGCACTGGGTGCTGCCCGCATCTGGCAAGCTTGAGCCTGAGCTTGAGCCTGATTGAGCTGTGGGCCGGGCACGGGGCTGGGCCCACAGGGCTGCACTGAGCGCCTGCATGGTGGGCGTGGGGTCCTGCAGCCCTCCCACAGCCACCGCAGCATGGCCTGGCTCCAGCATGAGCCTGCTTCCAGCTCCCGTGGGCGCAACACAAATTCAGAGCAGACCTGCCCCAGCAGCCCCAGGCAGCTGGGCCTGTAGAGCCAAGCTGGGCCGGGGTGGGAGGGCGGTGGTTCGCCTTCATCTGGCACTGGCTGTGAGGGGATGCTGCAAGCATGCAGCCCCAGTGCCGGGAGAGGTGTGGGTGACCACAGCATCGTCCTGGTGTGACCTGCCAGCTGAGCATCTCTTGTCATCCTGCTGGACTGCCAGGGGGCAGTCTGGCTGGACTGCCAGACTCGGTACCCCGCCCTCAGTCTGCCTGGGGGTGACACAGTGCTCCCGGCAGCTCTCCCTGGCCCTCGCCCAGCAGTGGTGCTTGCCAACGCCCGGCTGTGGCTTCTCTCCGCCCACCCCGCTCCAGATCCCAGCCCTGCCCTCCCTGCCCATGTATTTTTACTCCTGCTCAGAGCAGGCTTGGGACAGTGGCGGAGCTTCCGGCTCAGAGCAGGCTTGGGACAGGGGCGGAGCTGCCATGGCAGCCAGTGCTTCCCAGTGGCACAGCTACCTTGGGGTGATCGTGTCCCGCCAGAGGCAGCGGCTGGAGCATTTCCAGCAGGCTGAGAACATCCTGCTGACCCTGTTGGAGAGCATCCACGCCAGGGAGCCCCGCTTCCTCGTAGACTACGCCAGAAACCTGGAAGCCTTCGAGTTCACTCTCCGCGCCTCCGAGGATGCTGTCACCATGGAGGTCCCCCTGCAGATCGATGGCGATGCCCTGCAGGTGCTGGCATGCTGGCCCGGGGACACCCCTGCTGGGCACCGTCCAGAGCTGGGCACCTGCTGTCTGGAAGTACCCTCTCCAGGGACTGACTTGGAGGACTGGACCAGCACCATGGGTGTGATGGAACAGGGAGGTGGTGCAGGGTGCCTGGTTCCAGGCAAAGTCCTCCAGCACCTGAAAGACCTCCTTGTTTCGGCCATTGTGCGCTGCCAACGCCGCTTCCTGCTTCAGCCAGGTGCGTATACTGGTGCGGCACTTCCCCAGCTGGGAGCTGCCTCCAGCACAGCTAGGGAGCCCAGTTCGGTGGTGGTCCCTGTGCAAACGGGCTGGGGTGTAAGTCCCCGGGCGCGTGGCCCACCCAAAGCCTGCACGAGTGAGCGAGCACCCTGCCGGGTGCTGGGACAGGCTTTGCCCTCAGCTAAGGAAGGGGAGATGCAAACTACTCCCTGCCATCCCATGGCAGCAGAATCATCCTCGGGCATCTTCACCCTGGGCTGATGGCACCCTTCTTGGTGGGTGGCAGCTCCATGCAGGGTTCACCCACCCCTGCTGTTAGTCCCTGGGGAAGGTTTGCTCAGGGACTTGGCATGCTTGGCTCACCCTAGCCACGTTTCCCCCGTCTCTCCTGGCCTCCAAGTGCCCCTGCTCCCTGGAGGAGGCTGTTTGGAGGGTGAGCTGGAAGCATGTTAGGGCTGGACCAGGACCTTGGGGCATGGGTCTGACCCTGCGCACACATGGCCCCTGGCTGGGAGCAGCGTCCCCAGGAAGAACATGGTGGGGAAGGGACCCTGGGAATGCTCGTAGGGGTCCCATCAGCTTCTTCATGCATTTCCATCTCCAAAGGTGCTTCTTGAAGTCAATCTCAGCCCTGATGGAAAGGTGATATGAGAGGACCAGCAGGTCCCAGCCCCAGCAAGCCCACCATTCCCTCCTTCCTCCTCAGCCAAGCTAGAGCCCTTCATCTTCTTCTATCCCCACAACCTGAGACCTTTCCTAGTCCATTTTTCTTGGACCACGTTATTTTTCTTGGCACTGTTCAGCTACCCAGCAGCATGGCCCCATTCAGCCACCTGGGGCTTCCTACTGTGCCCACACCCACTGGCCTGGCCCTGAGCCCCACTGGAGCGGTGCTCCTTCCTGAAAACCACCCCAGCGGGGTTTGGAGAACGGCTTTTGCTGAGGAACCGCAGCCAAACTGCAGCACTGGAAAGGGATGGGTGGAGAGGGGTGGGATGTGCCCATGGGCATTGCGGCACATACCTGGTTCAGCCTGTGGGACCAGCTGCAGTAACCTCCTAACCGCCACCAAACCCTCCGCATCTAGGTGACCTCAGTGCTGAAAATCTGCAGGAAGATGCTATGGAGCTCTCCCTGCTGATCCGCGGTGGCTGGAAGACTGTCCGCTTTGACATCGTCCCTGTGGTGAGGAGATGGCAGGAGCCGCTCTGGCTCAAGGGGCGGCAGAGCGACAGGGGCTTCCCTGAAGGCAGCCTCCGGAAGGCCACAGAAGAGGCCCACTTTGTCCCTGCCTCTCCCCATTGCTGGAGGTGAGAGGCTTGGCTGCACACATAGCAGGGTGACCCTGCCCTGGGGATCCCACCTGGCCAGCAGCACTGCCAGGTGTAGGCAAAAAGGGGATGGGAAAGTGGAGGGACATGTCAGCAGGGGGGTGAAGTCACTCCCTCGTGATGCCCAAACCCTCTGCCCTGTGTTGGGGGCAAAACCTCAGCCAAATTCCAGGCAGCTCAAGGAAAGAGGCGGGGGCTGCAACTGAAGGAGCCCCCTCCAGATTGCTCACAGGAGCTGAACCCCGGCTGCACGGAGGGTGGCAGATCTCACATCTGCTTGGGCTTCAGGAGTGAGCCTGGGCATCTGGCAGCAGCAGGGTGATGAGGTGCCTCCCAGGGCAGGCTGTGGGTGGGAGGGGGGCTGGGGTGACACACATCATGCCTGCCAGCACGGCTACCCGGCCCCGAGGAGGGGCCGAGCATCCAGCTGGACCAGCCCAGGCTTATTTTGGGCACAATGTGGTCTAGCTGGATGCTCAGCCCCTCCTTGAGGTCCAATCCACCCTCCGTTCCAGGGCAGCCTGCAGCCCTCCCTGCTGCATGTAGGGGAGCACAACCCCACTTCGCCTCCCCTCTTGTCCCTCCTGGAAAGGCAGGAGCTGCTCAGCAGTATCCCCATCATGCTGCAAATCTCCCCGGTCCCTCTTTGCCAGAGGTGGGTGTGGGAGGTGGATCCAGGATGCTGCGTGCCTGGGGCCACGTGGGTGGCCAGGGGGGATCCCCA